CACAGACGCTGTTTGCTGCATTTATTCATTCTTGAGGTCTGTTTGATGAAATTTTACAGTTATTTTTTCCTTTAGTGTAGTCCCTTTATTTATCAGGGGTCACCACAGCGGAATGAACTGCCAACTATTCCAGCATATGTTTTACGCAGCAGATGCCCTTCTAGTTGCAACCCAGTCAAGTCAAGTCGAGCTTTACTGTCATTCCCCTACATGTGCGGACACAGAGAAACGAAATGTCCTGTCTCGCATGACAATAGTAACACAACACTGAACATAAGAGCTATTAAAAAAAACCTTCATAACTCACACATACTATACGATACTTATCTATAGGACACATAGGGAGGGCTATACAAGTACTTTTACATGAGATTGAACACTGTTGTGCAGGATATTGTGCAAGAGAGTTGTTAAAGGTGAATACTGTGCAAAAGAGGTATTTAAGGTTTTAATGTTCTGCAAGAGCCATTTAAGGTTGAAGCAGGCAGTGCAACATGATTGTGGTACATTTATAGTAAACATTGTTTTCCTTATTTTTGTGGAGAGTACTGGGAAACACCCATACACACATTTGCATTCACACACAAGCTTCTTGATGTGAGGCCACAGTGCTAACCACTGAGCCACCGTGCCTCCCTCTGGCCTGAATATACTATTCTATTACATTACATTTCTATTCTATTCTATTCTATTCTATTCTGCTCCTTTACGCTCTGTTCCGTTCAATTCATTTCTATTTTGTTCCTTTTTATTATTTTCTATACTATTCCATTCTATTTTGTTCCTTTCCTTTATTTTCCATTCCATTCCTATTCTATTCTATTCTATTCTATTCTATTCTATTCTATTCTGTTCTGTTCTGTTCTGTTCTGTTCTGTTCTGTTCTATTCTATTCTATTCTATTCTGTTGTATTCCTTTCCTTTACTTTCTTTTCCGTTCTGCTCCGCTCCGTTCCATTCCAGTCTATTCCATTCCAGTCTATTCTATTCTATTCTATTTTATTATATTCTATTCTATTCCTTTCCTTTCCTTTCTATTCTGTTCCATTCCATTCAATTCTATTCTATTCAATTCCGTTTTATTTGATTTCTTTACTTTCTTTTCCGTTACGCTCCGTTCCATTCTATTCTATTCTATTCTATTCTATTCTATTCGATTCCATTCCATTCCATTCTATTCTATTCTATTCCTTTACCTTCCTTTCCTTTCTATTCTGTTCCATTCCATTCCATTCAATTCTATTCTATTCCGTTTAATTTAATTTCTTTACTTTCTTTTTCGTTATGCTTCGTTCCATTCCAGTCTATTCTATTCTATTCTATTCTATTCTATTCTATTCTATTCTATTCGATTCCATTCCATTCTATTCTATTCTATTCCTTTACCTTCCTTTCCTTTCTATTCTGTTCCATTCCATTCCATTCAATTCTATTCTATTCTATTCCGTTTAATTTAATTTCTTTACTTTCTTTTTCGTTATGCTTCGTCCATTCCAGTCTATTCTATTCTATTCTATTCTATTCTATTCTATTCTATTCTATTCTATCATACTCTATTCTATTCCATTCTATTCTATTCTATTCCTTTACTTTCCTTTCCTTTCTATTCTGTTCCATTCCATTCAATTCTATTCTATTCTATTCCATTTTATTTGATTTCTTTACTTTCTTTTCCGTTACGCTCCGTTCCATTCTATTCTATTCTAATCTATTCTATTCTATTCTATTCTGTTCCATTATATTCTATTCTATTCTATTCTATTCCATTTTATTTTATTTCTTTACTTTCTTTTTCGTTATGCTTCGTTCCATTCCAGTCTATTCTATTCTATTCTATTCTATTCTATTATATTCTTTTTTATTCTATTCTATTCTATTCTATTCTATTCTATTCTATTCTATTCTATGCTCATTCTATTCTATTCTATTCCATTTTGTTCCTTTTCCTTACCTTCCTTTCCTTTCTATTTTCTTTTATTTTATTCTATTCTGTTCCGTTCCGTTCCATTACTTTACGTTACGCTACATTACGTTACGTTACGTTCTATTCTATTTTATTTTATTCTATTATATTCTATTCTATTCCATTTCATTCTATTCTATTTTATTCTATTCTATTCTATTCCATTTCATTCCATTCCTTTACCTTACTTTCCATTCTGTTCCATTCCATTCTATTTTATTCTATTTTAATCTTTTCCGTTCTGTTCCTTTTTGTTCCGTTTCATTACTTTACTTTCCGTTCCATTCTTTTCTACTCTATTCTATTCTATTCCATTCTATTTTATTCCATTCTATTCTATTCCATTTTGTTCCATTCCTTCACTTAACTTTCTGTTTTGTTCCGTTTAATTCCAATTCATTTCATTCCATTCTATTCCGTTCCGTTCTATTCTAATCTATTTTATTCTATTCTATTCTATTCTATTCTATTCTATTCTATTCTATTCTATTCTATTCTATTCTATTCTATTTCGTTCCATTCCTTTCCTTTCCTTCCTGTTCCTTTCCTTTCCATTCCTTTTCTATTCTATTCTATTTCATTCTATTACCTTACTTTACGTTCTATTCCATTCTAATTCCAGTTTCTTTGTGTATCGCTTTTCACAGAACATATTGTTCCAAAGCAACATAACAAAAAATGTGCGTCATTATATTACAACCAAAATCAGAACATCTGGAAAATCTATAAAAAATAAATAAATAAATAAATAAATAAATAAAAAGTGAAAGTCTCAAAATAAAGCTAAGATCTTCATCGAAATTGCGATCAAGAGTTCAGTGATTAAAGTGCGGTAAATCTAATAAAAAACAATGAAGATAATGGAGGTCACAACATATCTGGCTTAAATAATTAGAACTGTTATGGGTTCAATGAGGATTTGAGCAGTTTAATTAAGTGAAGTGATGGTTTAATTCACACCTAATTCACAAGGTCAGTTGGTTTTTTACCTCCAAAGTAGGATCCGTCAGTGAGTTTCATCCCGACAGTTCCCTTAGTGATGACGTTCACCACGCCGTGCTGAATGAAGTACATCTTTTTCCCGATGGTTCCCTCTCTGATTATATAATCGCCAGGCTGGAAAACCTCGAAACGCAGCTTTGTAAGCATCGCTGTCACGAAATTGGGCTCTGCATTGGCGAATAGAGGCATGGAGGCCACCAGCTTACGGCAGTTGAAGTTCACGATTTCCTGACGGTAGAGGAAACAGATGCAAAGTTCAGAGAGGGAGAGAAACACATAAGCAGATATTTCAGATTCAGAAAAATATGTCAGTATATTATAGCCCAGTATGTTTATACAGTATATAACAAGATATAATATAAGAATAATGGTATGAATAATATAATGTAATAATATTTATAACTGTTGTTGTTTTTATTCAAATTTTATTGTATTATTTGTGCATTGTTTTTCGCCTTGTCCCTTTATCAATCTGGGGTCGCCACAGAGGAATAAATCGTCAAATTATCCAGCATATGTTTTATGCAGCGGATGCCCTTCCAGCTGCAACCCATCACTGGGAAACACCCATACATTTTTATTCACACTCATACACTACGGTAAATTTAGTTTACCCAATTCACCTGCAACCAGCAACCTTCTTGCTGTGAGGCGACATCGCTACCCACTGCGCCACCGCACCGCCTTTTTATTATTATCATTATTATTATTATTATTATTATTATTATTATTATTAATTATGTAAATATAGAAGTGATCATTTAAGTATCTTGAGACCTATTATGTTTAAATAGTGTAAGAAATTGTGTAAAAATATTTTTATTTATTGTGAAAAGTAAAAGTAGTATAAATATTAATAACAATAATATATATTTATATGATTAATAATAAATTAAATACTTTATTGTTGTTGTTGCTGTTTCAATAAATTTATATGTATTCTTAGTACTGTATTATTATTATTATTATTATTATTATTATTTATTCGCATATAAATATAGAAATTATTATTTAAGTATCTTGAGGTAGAGTATGTTTTTAAAATGTTTTGTGTATAAAAATTTTTTTTTTTTTATTGTGAAAATGTAATAATAGTATGAATAATAATAGGTGACGCACTAGCGCAGTAGGTAGTGATGTCACCTCACAGCATAAAGGTCGCTGGTTCGAGCCTCAGCTGAGTCAGTTGGCGTTTCTGTGTAGAGTTTGCCTGTTCTCCCCGAGTTCGCATCGGTTACCTGCGGGTGCTCCGGTTTACCCCTCAAGTCCAAAGACATGTGGTACAGGTGAATTGGATAAGCTAAATTGTCCATAGTGTATGTGTTAGAGATGCGCGGTTAGCGGTTATAGCCGCGGACTCCGCGGATAAACCGCGGATCGGGCGGATGACGTTACGAAAAAATAATATTTTTATTAAATTCGGGCGGGTGGCGGGCGGTTGTACTGTTTTTATATTCATAGCTGGCGCACCAACGAAAAAGCCTAGAACTGACTTCACAGAATGGGAGGAGGAATCGGATACACTAATTCTGGATGAAGTACAGAAGTATTCCTCTACAAACTTCCGTATAGACGGATCAGCAGAGGAAAATCTACTTTCCTTTTGGGAGAAATAAGGCCAGTCATTCCCACGACTGCAGCACCTTTCCAAGAGAATTATATGCATTTCAGCAACAAGTGCTGCGAGCGAGCGCTCCTTCAGTGCAGCAGGGCGCATTATAGTGGCTATGCAGGCGCTCCCGTCTGAATCCTGACACTGTAGATGCTATTTTATTCCTGCATTGTGCCAAGAAAAAAATCAAACTAGACCTAAGGTCAGGCATATTAAACCAATTAGCCTATGTTATTTAGGCTAACATAGATAATTTTACGTTCATATTGGTTTAGCCTATTCTATTCTAGACATGTTGGCCTCGCTTTTACGTTCCGAGGCTAAGGTTATTTTGCCAGAATTTCTTTGTCGCAAATTTAATGGCATAGTATTTCGTTATGCTTCAAGTTTGAGGGGAATGGGGATAATCATAAGTCCATGGGTTATTGGGGCACTTGTCATACATGCACTTTAGCCTGGTCAGGTTCGCTCAAAGAGGGATGGCATATCTATTTTTCTAATTTAATTTCTAATTGTGGGGGTGACTGAGCCTACAAGGCTTAGGCACGATATGACGTTTTTATTACAAAATTTTCAACTGTTTGCCAAAGCATGCGACTATAGCCTATGCCTACATTAAGATATTTATGTTAATATTTTTTTACTGCCTGTTGTTTCTTTTGGCAAATAAAATAGGTATTGTCTGATAGAGATATCAATAAAGGTTCATCTGTGTCGCAGAACTGTGTTGTTTCCGATTTCTACAAGCTCAATAACATCCACAGCAAAAAATTTAAAAAAAATCGAAAAACTGTGCCCATTAATTAGATGTGCAAGGCAAGGCAATGTGCAGGTACGTTTTTGGTGTTGCTATGGACAACTACAAATGTAAACATTATTAGGCTATAATGTAAATGACTTATTATTCTATCTATTTACTAATAAATTAAGTGAAATAGGCATTTAGTTGTAGGCTAAATAGCAGCATGTTGAAATGATGTGTCAATGCGTTTTCTATTAGGCTACAATAAAAAAAAGTTGTACAGTACAGTGCTTTAATTTAGGCTATTTATTTATTTTTGTCCCTGTGCGCCGATTGGAGACGGAGTTCACTGCTGATATTCTGAGAGCTTGGGTGCTTCTCATTTCTTATTTGTGCATCCTCGTTTCCTTTCCTTGCTTTCTTTCCTCGTGTTTCCACCCCACCGGGATAACGTTACGAGGGAAGGATGCAAGGAAAAGACTGAAGGACCGAGGAATCGAATCAAGTGAAAAGACACGTCCTCGTATCTTTAGCGTAACTTCAAAGCGTCGTCAATTAATGACTTGCACGTTTGGATTAACTGCATGTCTACATTAAAGTCATTCTCTATTCTATAATGAGCAATAAAGAAACATTCATTTAATAAAAAAAAAAGGAATAAGCCATTCAAATAAAGAGCCCAATCAGCAGATGGCGGGCGGGTGCGGTTTTAAAAATTGTTCAAAAATGTTACTGCGGATGGATGGCGGACGGATGATGAATTTTGTCATGCGGTTGCGAATGAAATAATAGCCCATCCGCGCATCTCTAGTATGTGTGTGAAAGAAAGTGTGTGGATGTTTCCCAGTGATGGGTTGCGGCTGGAAGGGCATTCGCTGTGTAAAACATATATATATATATATATATATATATATATATATATATATATATAATATTATTGTTGTTGTTTTTTATGTAATGATTTATTATTATAAATTATCGACTTTATATTTTTGTTGTTGTTGCTATCGTCATCAATATAATTATTATTGATATTATTATTATTATTATTATTAATATTATTATTACTGTTATTAGTATTCTTTTATTTTATATTTATATGCAATTATATTTATATATAATAATTATATATTTATTATTTTATTTATTTTTATGTACTCAAATCTATATTTTATACAACAATTTTATATATAACAATTGTTGTTGTTGTTGTTGTTGTTTTTGTTGTTGTTGTTGTTGTTGTTGTTGTTGTTGTTGTTGTTGTTGTTGTTGTTGTTGCTATTATTATGGCCCAGTATGTTTATATACTGTATACATTTTTTTATTATTTATTGTAAAAATGCAATAATAGCATGAATAATAATAACCTTCATGTATTTAATTATTATGTTAATATGTTATTTATTTATTTTTTTGCATGTAAGTTAAAAAATCAAGGGGTATATCACTAATTATTATCTTTTAAATGTTTTATAGCCTAGATTGCTTAATTTATTGATAACATAAGAAAATAAAATACACTTACCATTCTGTCAAATGTTATAATTTTAACAATCTTTGAAATATTGCATTTAATAATTTGGGAAATGATTTTGCAATTCTTTGAGACGTTTCCCTTTAGAATTATTTAAAAAATACGATCCTCTCATGTCTGCGCATTGTTCTGTCCTAAAACAGCATTAAATGTAGTTAAAGCCGGAAGCCATTGGCAGAAGGGATTTAGCTGTTTACTGTGACACAAATGAGTTTGGAAGCTGCTCCCAGATCAGCTCGGCTTCATTGTTTTGGAAAAGCTCTGAGAGAAACGCAAGGCCTTCTGGGAGCTTATTTTCCACAGATGTTTACACACACAGACAGACCTTTGCAGACACACATACACACACCTCTCTGAGCGGTTCGTTCAGCTCCTCCAGGATGCTTTCTTCATCAAACATCTTGCCCTGGTAACGGTGCTCATAGTAATCGTGGATTTTCTGACGGAAATCTGCCGGAAGTTTGTGGAAGGACATGTACTGCTCCACTTGTTTGTACTGCAGGGATAAAGAACACACAAATAAATTGTTTATTAGAACACAGCACAGCACGTTCATAATAGAGTCGGCATCAAATAGACATATTGGGCCCTAACATACACCGCAATAAGGCGCAGGACGTGTTTGGCATGATTTGTGGCACTTTTTAGACAAGTGCAACAGTAATTTTCATGTTTTGCACCACGTAGTTTAAATAGTTTAAATAGTTTATCCATTTGTGCCACTTTGTGTACTCAAGAGTGTGCCAATCTATAAAGGAGGTGTGTTAACCTCTTAAGGTCCAAGCTGTTTTTTTACATGCATTTTTATTTTTATTTACTATTTGGGCTTATTGGAACCTAATTAGGATAAAACCTAAGTATCATCTTTTGATATGATGTACTTTTAGAGAAAAATGATGTCCATATATGTGGACTCGTGGTCCGATTTTACATAAAACACAATAAAGTCACCTTTGGGTAATAAAATGAAAAATTCTTTATTTCTGGCTTGAACACACACTGAAAAAAAATTGTTCAAAGATAATTCCTTGGATTTACTAAATTTTTTATGTTAAGTGGTTGTAAACAATTTATTTGGGCTGAATTTAAACAAACATATTAAGTTGAACATTATTAAACTTAATTTGTTTGTTTAAATTCAACACGAATAAATAGTTTGCAACAGTTCTGCTTGCAACCCTTTTTATAGTGCAGCAGTTTTTTTCCTGACTGTTTTTTAATGCATTAATACACACATACACACATATTTAGACTATCAGTAAAAACCATAGACTGTAAAATATATGGACGTAGTCTCCGTGACGTCACCCATAGGTTTCTGAAGAGCGCAAAAGAAGCCACAAGTAGGCGCGGCCAACCGTCGCCATTTTGGTCACGCGTCATCACACCCTTGGCGGGATACCAAACAAGGGCAAAGAGGCGGAGAGTGAGCGGAGCTACAGACACCTGCTGGCATTTAGCTTGGACCTGGTTCAGACACACTTTACTTTGGGAAAACGCTTAATACTTTATCACCTGAGACTCGTTTGTGTTCTGACCACTTGTGCTTGGTCGTACACTATATCAATAAAGTGTTTAGACTTTTAAAAACCCTGCTGTAACACATTGAGCCACTAAACATTGTTCTTATGACGTTTTTCAACAGGAGGAAAACGCGAATTGCTTCCAAACACTTCAGATATAGTCTGTGTTAGTTAATGTAAGACTATTGATGAAATCCAGCATAACACTGTATGACAACGCTTCAGATGACGGTTCTAGAGCCTACAGCTAATCAATTTGTCTGATTCTGGAGTGCATTACAGCTCTAAATATAAATATAAACGATCTTAAACAAAACAAATACATGTACAGAGATGGTATTTAAGTATATAACTTTACTCACATGGGAAACGGAGGCCACGTGAATGGTTTGTGAGCGCAATTAAGTGCACTCAGCATGCCATGCCATCTAATAATTGTAGGAAACAAGTCCAAAAGGCAGTTGACTGTGTAAAGCCACATAAAACAACACAGAAATACGATAAATATGCCGAGTTCAGTGGCTAAACTGCAGGATTCAGCTGAGGTGACGTGACGTGTTGGCGACCAACGAGACCTAGCTGTCACTCAAGTGGCCACTCCCTTAATTATGCAAACTTAATATAACTTAATATAAAGGAAACGGATGAGTTATAAAAAAATTCACCCCCCTCACAGTTGTCATGAAGGGTAATATTAGCTGTATTAACTAAAATCTTTTTTTGTACCAGGCTGTAAACACCTTTTTTCTGCTGTAAAGTTGGCCATTCTAACAGTGGGCTCAATTGAAATTTGCTCTATTTTAGAGCCAGGAGCGGCCAGGACTAGCGGAATTTCCCATGAATTGCAGTTTTAGTTACTTCCGTATTGGCTTCCTGAGGGAGAGCGGGAGGTTGCCGCTTGGTAAAAACAAAATATTTTGGCCCATTTTGGACAGTTAAAATAGTGTTTGGGACATTTCTCATGCTGCAAAACAGTGGCAAGACGACACTGTATGTCAGTAAAAGTAACTGAAACTTTGTAGAACTTTTCTAATAAAAGACGTTTTTACTTATTTTGTTTTCATGTTTAGCACAAAAAGTGGCCAAACCTCATGGGTTTGTATTCTGTTGTATACCGCTGTTCTGCCATGTGATGGCTCAGTATGTCTGTTTCTATACATTAAACACAAAGTTCAACATTTCATCTGTGGAGTTTCTTTGGTAAAATAAAGCCCGCAGAAAAGCCTATGAATGGAACAAGGTTAAGGTAAAAACATTTTATATTTTAAATATCACATTAAATTTCTGTAGCTTGAACTTGTTCCATCTATTTGCTGTTCTACAAAGTTTCACTGCTATCAGATGGTAAATAAACTATGAACAACTGATCTGTAAAGTGTGAGTTAATATGTTAGTTAAGTGTTAGTTATTAGCTTGTGTGAGTGTTATTGGGACGTTATTCTAAAGTTGCAACTAGTCCTCATTCACTAACAGTTAATAAATGAAGAATAGTTAATAGTCATTTAATAATAGTTGCCACTGCCTCGCATGGTTCAGGATTGGTAGAGCTACGCATCGATGAATTTGCTCTTCAGTGTTTGAACTCTCAGTAATGAATAAATCACACTGAACTGAGCTAAACTGCACTGAACTGAACTTAAACACTAAAACCTGAACTACACTGTTCCAGTTACTGTGACCATTTATGTGAAGCTGCTTTGACACAATCTACATTGTAAAAGCGCTATACAAATAAAGCTGAATTGAATTGAATTGAATCTCAATAAGATATCAACTATTGACTGATACTTTACAAGTCTTTAGTAAGTTATTTACTAACAGCTTATTCGTGATCTATTACTAGTGTATTAGATATAGTTATAAATCATTAAAATACAGTTAACAAGTCATTTATAACTTGTTAACTAACAACTTGTAAGTTATCTATTGTCTATCTATAAGGCACAGTTATACATTAAACATTTAACAAGTCATTTATAACTAACTTATTAACTAACAGTTTATTAATGATCTATTAACTAGCTATAACGGATAGTTATTCTAAAGTGTAACCAGCTTAGTCCCTTTATTAATTAGGGGCCGCCACAGTGAAATGAACCAACCACTAATCCAGCATGTTTTACACAGCGGATGCCCTTCCAGCCACAACCCAGTACTAGGAAACACCTATACACACTCATTTACACATACATTACAGCCAATTTAGTTCATTCAATTCTCCTATAGCGTATGTGTTTGGACTGTGGGGGAACCGGAGCATCCGGAGGAAACCCACGCCAACATGGGGATAACATGCGAACTCCACACAGAAATGCCAACTTGACTCGAACCAGCGACCACCGTGCCACCTAATGATTTTTTAATCATGCGCATAGATAAATCATTTATTATAATTTGCAATAAAACTATTTGAAAACAAGAACCGTTCATATTGTTTTAATAGCGACTTTATTATGCATATAGTGTCTCGGCTCTTCCTGCTTGCAGTGCAGCAATGTCAGTCCTTTAAACCTGAACTAAATGAAACGACTGCCAATGTTGACAGCCATTTCAAAGGGACGGCGTGAGTTCACAGGATTTAACATCTACAGATGACACAACTAAAGAATCGTCTTTCTCTGGAGTACAAAAAAAGCAGAAAACAAACAACACAAGGCATGCCAAGGTAACGCTATTCCACAGACACTATCACAGTCACTCTGTAGGCAAACAAATAAATGAGGCCAGAAGAGAACAAAGACAGGACAAACAAACAGTTCAGCACTTTCTTTCTGTACGTTTAGCCAATTCCTGATCATTCATTCATTCATTTTCCTTCCTTATTGGAGCCATTTCTATCTTTTTTATTATTATTATGTTTGGATTACATGGGTTGGATGGATGATTATAATTATTGATTGGATTATTGTTATTATTATTAAGTTTACATTTGATAATTATTGTATTCAGGTTTGATCATTTGCTTTGTATAAAATTCATGTTTATAGTATTTGCTTTATTGTTTTTATTTTGTGGATGAAGACTTTTATTCTGTCGAAATCTGCATTTGAGGCAGCCAGGTGGGAGGGTCAGTAAGGGAAGAGGAAACAATTTTCAGACCGTGAGTTGGTATGTGGTGACGGGTGCTACTGAGGAGCAATGGAGCAATTTCACTGATTTGATGGCACAAGATGTGATAAAATAAAGATGAGAAAAAGATTCACAGTGGACTCGACAGTCATCGTTTACCCTTATCGCGATAGTAAATGCCGCTACATTCCTCTAAGGGTGCTTTCACACCTACACTTTTGTTTCGGAACGTGTCTCGTTTGCCCAGTTAGCGCGGTTTGTTTGGCATTTGTGAACAGGGCAATCGCGCTCTGTTCCGCGCCAAAGTAATCGCTCTGAGGGTGCTTTCACACCTACACTTTTGTTTCGGAACGTATCTCGTTTGCCCAGTTAGCGCGGTTCGATTGGCATATGTGAACAGGGCAATCGCACTCTGTTCCGCGCCAAAGTAATCGCTCCGAGATCGCTTGAGTGAGGTGGTCTCGGCTCGATTGAAACAAACCCTGGAGCGGTTCGATTGCAGTGAGAAAGCGATCCGATCCGAGCGCGGTTATATGACAGTGTTTTATGGATATGTAATAGGCTTACGGCTACATGAAGAGAGAATTATGAGTAGGGCGGGAAGTTTCGCGAGTCTCCGGATGCCCGCAAACGAGTGATGATCTCCCGGTAATCTCGCGTCTCTCTCCCAGTCCTCAAATTGGCATCGTCGCGCACCCTTCTCACCCCTCCCCACCGTGTCTCTCCTCAGACACATCGCGCGCGCACCCTGTCAATCACCACCAAACCACCACCTCTCCTGACAGCTTTAGCGGGACGCTGCAAAATAAACCCTGACACTCTGACCAATGTAAGGAGAGTTTACTCGCACGTGACTTGTTTTAGCTCTTTTGGTCCGATTAGAAACTTTGCAGTGTGAAAGCGAACCGCTCCAAGAGCAAAGAGCAACAATGTAACAATTTTAATCTCTGTTTCGGAACAACTGAATCGATTCACAGGTGTGAAAGCACCCTGAGATCGCTTGAATGAGGTGGTCTCGGCTCGATTGAAACGAACCCTGGAGCGGTTTGATTACA